CTCCTTAGTTCTAGGTTGCTTTTCTGCTTAGTTAGTTTCCAACCATTGTTTCTTGTCTTCCTTGTTCATGCTTTGGAAAATAGTTTGAACCCCTCATCTTTGTAGGAACCCCTCAAATATTATTACAGTGCTATCATGTCACCCTTAGTCCTTCCTTTCATTAGATTAGACATACCCAATTCCTGTAACCTTTCTTCATATGTTTTAGGCCTCAGCCTGCTAATCATTTTTGTTACCATGGGGGAGGCAATTCAATTCGGGGGCTACAACGGAAAAAGCTTTCTCCCAAATAGTGAGGAAAATGTGAGAAATAGAGTAATACTATCTTAATCACTCTTGATATAAGCTGATTTGGAGAATAGCTTTGGATGGCTTTCAAGATTCTGTTACCTTAGCATTATTCATTGATTTCAGAAGTCAAAGTGATTTTAAGTCCTAAGTTTGCCAGTCTTAAAGGGTTTGACAACATGGAAAGAGTCATTACTTCAAAACTGTGGTCCCATGCTATGAAGGGGTTAAGTTTTAAATGGAAAGGAATTGGGACTATTGATGATTCAAAGAAGTTGGTTATGTTTAGGTCACTCAGTTCTAGTCAGGATTCTTACTGCAATGTTTTAATTGGTGTTTTGAATCATACTCAGGGTCAAAAAATATATTGCAGCAATCTAAAAATTAGAGAGATTATTTCTGTTTAAGTATGGCTGCAGCTGGCATACTAGACTAACTGATGAAAGCTGCTTCTTGTTACTGATGCAGTGCATGCAGTAATTTCAGAAATGGATCCAGAAGCACATCTACATTACAGACTTAATCCTTTAGAATATATCTTGTCTACACTGAGCTAGTCTTCACAACCAGGCACTGATTTAGTAATTATGCTTCCTCATCTTCTTACCAAATGATATAGCCCATGGGGGCCAAGGGTGAACAAGCATGTGGTAAATCAACCAAACATAATCAGGTTTTGACATTGAAATTCATTTAAAGAAGCAATTAGACAGTCTTGGACACTTCTACTGCTGGAACTGTAGAATAAAACTATAGATAAGTTTGATCAACTTTCCCTCAAAGTGTCTAGCCATGAAATGATGCAACAATCTACTGGAGGTCCTAAGTGACTTCTAGCTGGGTCAGATCCAAAAAAAGAACCAAGCCATTTTGAGAAGCTTGACTAAAGCTACTGAGAGGCTTGCTTTTTCAACTCCTCATGACCATAAACTAGTGATAATGGGTTTCTACTAGTGATATTATTTGAGATGAGGTTATCCTCCTGCTGTCAATGATCCTACCATACTCCTGGTAAGAAGGACGCTGAGGCAAACAAACTCAGAAAGCAGCAGCTTTACTTTGCATTCTAATAATCATCTATCTTTCTTCATTGTCTTCTTCAGGCAAGAGGCTCTGCCATGGGAGAAGGAATTCAGGAATTATTGCATCAACCAACCTGGTCACCTCTGTATTCCACATGCAGCTAAGTCTTTAACAGGAGGGCAAAATCCCCCAGGATCTTCTAGAATCCATTGGAATCATTCAGCCTCTGGAAGCAGGTCATTCTAGTAGATCCCTTTTCCTAATTATTTCTACAGACAGTAATAATTGCTGGAAAACTAAATCTCAGCAGGACATGGTTTGATTGTAACAAGGGAAGAAATATCAAATCTCTCTCTCTCCCTGCCTATTCTCTCCCTGCCTAATATAGGAAAACTAAATCACAGTGGGACCTGCCACACTGAAAAATTCTTATCTTGCATTCCCACTCTATAATGTTCTGTCCTCCCTATCACTTCACAAAAACAGAGTGAGCATATATAAATACAGGGCTTTGAGAATACATGGATTTTTCAGTCTATCTAGGCTGTGCTCAAATTGCTGTTTCAAACAGATCTCACAATACTGTTTCAAACATATCCTATTGTGAACACTAGAGAATTCACAGACGGATCTAGACATTATAAAGCATCATGTAATTTTTTGAAGATTCCCAAACTTCCCTTAGTTTTCTAAGCTTTAACACTGCAGGCATTTTTTAATAAATTAAAAACAAAACAGGCACAAAGTAAACAAATTATCTTTTCATCAAGAGTTAAACTGGTACTGGTGCACCTTGGGACTCTGCATTAACCAGTAACCCTAGATATTAATATCTGCATACAGAGATTTGAAAGTGCATTAGAAGAGATTCATTCTTGGTATGATCCAGCAGATTTCTTCTTAGAAACTGATGGGCAAGAACTAAAAAAAGAAGCAGTGGGTGAGGTGGAGTATTTCAGTGATTTTAAATGTCAGCAGGGGAATTCAACAGGGGGAAATTTACCTAAGTTAATTTTCTTCTTCAGTCACTGTGGCTGATTTCACGGTGTCCTTCCCAACCCAAATAAGGCCCGGAAAGAATGTGCTAAGAGTATGCTAAGAATACATTTCAGCTTGGTTGGATAAGATTACCGTCAAGTCTGTATTTCATGTTTTCTGCCATAGACCTCAAAGAACTGTAATCATATTAAAAGAAGTGGCTAGGGCTTTGACAGCTCCTTCCAGTTCCTTTGTGCTGCCTTTGCTTTTACCCGCTTGGCTTTCTAGTCTGGAGCTGGGTGCTTAAAACTGAATAAAATAGATCAAGTCCCGGAGTGGTGCCTAGGATGCCAAATAAGCTGAGCTACAGATCTGCTGAGTGCCATGGCTATTTTTATTAGAAGCTGATACTTTAGTGTAGCTGTGAATACTGCCTTGGGAGAGGGTTAGTTTCTAGCGAAGGTGGGAAAGGCAAAGCAGGGCTTTGTAGAGAAAGTAGCTCAAAAGAAGAACCCAAAGAAAGTTAGAACTGCAGAGGACGTCCCACCTTTTAATACACCATCTCCTACGAGAGTCAACATTGGCCCTGTCAGATCCTCTGAGCTGCTAATGCAACTTGACCTTTTCTCACAGTGCATTTCTTACCATCAGCATTATGACTGAGATTACAGCAGAAGGTACTGTAACCATCTTGATGTTCTAATTGTCTGAAAAAGATTTCTACTCCGTGTTTTTAATAGATTCAGCCACTCGGGCATGTTCTATACATTTTTGGGGAAATCGTGGCTTTGCTGAAGGGCATGCTTGAAGGAAAAAAGCTGCTCCTCTTTAACAGCTGGAATTTGTACCAGCTAATAAAACCTGATCATCAGTCACCTCTAAAAATAGCCTTGGTCATATAGAGTTGGGAAGGCAGGCTTAGACAGAGAGGCTGCAGAAATAAAAAGCACAAAAAAATAATAATAAAGCTGGGATGGTAGATTTAAACGCTCATCCTAGTCACTATATTGTTCCTTGGCATTTTTGCACTTTTCCCCTTTTTGAATCCATCTTAACATTTGCTTTCAAGTCTTTCAGGCTTTTTTTTTTTTAGATGTTTTATCCTGCTTTTATTATTTTTTTAAATAACTCAAGGCAACCTAATACTACTTGTTCTTCCTGTTGTTTCCACAACAACAACCCTTGAAGTGAGCTAAGGGCTAAGGGAGAGTGACTGGCCCAAAGTCATCTGGGCAGTATTCATGCCTAAGGCAGAGTAATTCATGCTTAATTTTATTTATTTTTTATTTATTTTTTATGTATCAAATTTAGAAAATGGTCATTTCCCTCACAGAGGGACTCTGGGCTGAGTACAAGTAAACTATTAAAACATAAAAACTGCATATATCATTTAGATAAAAAACAAAGATAGGTAAAATTCAGAATTAAAAGGTGGGGGAGAAGGTCTTTAGGCACTAAGCAGCCCCACAATTGCGTGCTTCTCTGTGACCCCCAAGCAAGATGCAGAGATATTTCCAAAAGGCCAGAAAAGTGCCCCTCCCCCTTTCCTCTGGGGGAAGAATGTTCCAAAAAATGGAGGTAATGGCAGAGAAGGCTATCTTCCTGAGTACCACCAGTTGGAATTTTTTTAACTGACAGGGTCTGAAACATATCATCCCTGCCTGACTGGGTGGGACAAGCTGACGTAATGGGGTGAAGATGTTTCTGTAGGTAACCTGGTCCCATGCCATGTTTCATGCATTTTAGTTCTGCTGATTTTTGCAGTATTCTACTTCACAAATTATATGAGCTCAAAACTGGCATTCCACCAAAGGTATGCCCAAAACAGGAATCCTGGTAGAAATAATGCAATTTCAAATGCTGTTTGCCATGGTGTCACTTTATATTTTAGGTTGATGTATACCTATATTTAAAAACACTATATATATTAAATGTGAGCTGCCCTTTACTAAACAAATATTGATATAGTGCGTTTGTTTTCAAATCGCGCCTTGAAAATGTGCAAATATTTCTCTTCCCAAAAAGAAGTCCAGATTCCAATCTCCCCCACTGTGTTTAATTAGGGAAGTGCAGCATGGGTTATTACAGAGGGAGTAAAATGCAGGATTTGAACCCTGAGAAGCAAATCACTTTTGTACATGATGCAAATGTAAAGGCTACACAGTGTGCTTTATATCAAATTAAATCTTTGAAATACATTCAGTGCTTTATAAGACTACATGTTATTAATCCTGAAAGTCTTCAGTAATTATATAGTTTTGGAAGTTGTATATGAGGGTTGCTTGAATGAAGGCTAGAGAGAATGAGATCTGAACCTATAAATAAAGAAATGGTTATCTGGAAAATATCAATACTTCATGAATAATTTTAATATGTTCAGACTATTAATATATACAAACATTTTATTCAGTACAATGATGAAGGTTTTTTTTTTAAATGCAGGCTTTTAAATATATTGTTAAATTTTACACTGGAATTGCATAGCAATTTTTTTCCATTGTGGATCTTTGCATTCTACTTTCCCAAGCTTATAACCATCTTTTTTATAACAAAAGCTCTTAGATCTATTCTTTACCCCTTTTATTCAACAGACCAAGACTGTGTCCCAAATCACTGCAGTTGTTAATGAAATATGAAAGCAAAATAAGTTTGATATAATAGAATTTGCATTGAGTATTATTGGAGACCAAATCTGTTGCTTTCTATTTCTGGGATGCTTAATATTCATGTTCAGTGGTATGTTTGTGAAGAGCAGGCATAAAGCCAGTATAGCTGTCTACTTTGATCAGAGTTTGGGTAGATGTAATGAAGTGTTTGAGGAAGAACATGCTAAAGCTGGGCAAGACCAGGTTCATACAAAGGACCAAACCTCTTTAAAAGGTAATGATCTACTTGCTGGTTCATAAGGTTGAATCCAGTGACCAACACAAAACAAAACATGAACAGGTTAAAAGATGTAATATTAAATGGATGCCAAATTTTGGGCCAATATTGGCATTGGAAAAAAATGTGGACTATAATATTTCATTTACTCTGCTCAACAATTTAAGAGAATATATTTATAAAAGTATATATTGATGTTATTTGACACCTATAAAACAAAAAAAATGTATAAAAATGTTTCAGGTAAAATTTGGCAATATGAAAAAGAGGATGGAACCTATTATCATATGAAATGGACTTTTGAAGTGGCCAAAAAGTTTGGTTGGTGATTCACAGGACATTGGTGAAAATAATGGGAATACCTTTTCAACTTAAACCAGACCTTTACTTATTAGGGTCAAAGGAAGAAGAACTGAGTAAAAAACATGGTGTCTCATTGTTTTACATTGTTACAGCAGCAATATTATTATATGCGTAGAAATAGAAAATTAAAGAAACTTCAAATAATGAAGGGTATTCAGTATTTAAATAGTGAAGACTATTTAAAGTTACAGACTTCTCAGAGATGGGCAAAACTGACTTGTCTAATGAGAGAGAAATCTACAGAGTTTTATTAAAAATAGGGGTTACATTATAAAAGTAGGGAAAAATAGTTTGATGATAAAGGGTTTTATAGGTTAAACAAGGGGAGATAATGGGAAATGTAAATAGTGATTACAGCAGTATAAGAAATGGTTAATGAATGCCTGAGGAAAGTGAAGAATAAAAGTAGACTGGATTTTTTTTTTTACTTAAGTTAGATTTGTGTTTGTATAAGTTTGTATGTTTTTCTATATGTTCATGTATTGTGTTTTTATGTCCAGAATTTTAATAAAGTTTATGTAGAAAATACTTGAGATTTAAGAATAACTGATTAGCTGAGGTAACTAAAAAATCTTTTTCCTGAGAAGAGTTATGGTGAGCTTTTCTACTACATAATATATCTGATGTAAGAATATGCATTATTATTGTGCAGATGCTTACATCTTGAGTCTTGCAATTATTAAATGTAAAGTTCAGTTGGAATGTTCTAGTAGAGGGGTAAAATATAAAGGATAGGAAATTAAGAAAAGTTTTCTTTTGTACCAAGCTCTTCTTAGTTGCTAAAACTTGTGGATTTTAGCATCCCAGAAGATCATGGTAGCTTATGGATGGCAAAAAAATAACTTTCAAAGGAAAGAGAGATCTTTGATAGATAGTTGGAGTAGTTGTACAGTGATCCTTTTTTATATTTTGTATAATATTTGTATAATTTGTAGTTTGATTTTATATGTGTGTGTGTGTGTGTGTGTGTGTGCGTGTGTTTAAAAATGATTAAAAATGAAAAAGAAATCAAAGCAAAAGCTATACAAGAAAGAAAAACAAAAATAGAAAAGAAAGAACAAAGATATAAAAAAGAGATTTCCAATCTTCTTTACAGCAGTTATAACCACAATTATCCAATCCAATAAAACAGTGTGTGTGTGTGTATAGATATAGATGACGTAGATGAGATAGATCAGTGGTTCTCAACCTGTGGGTCGGGACCCCATTTGGGGTCGAACAACCATTTCACGGGGGTCGCCAAACAACGCAGTCCGCCATTTCCCCCCCTTTTCCTTAGCTGTGCTACTCCCTTTTATTCTATTGGCTTTTGAAAGCCAATAGAATATACTCTCTTGAATAGAGTCTAATTCTATTGACTTTCAAAAGCCAATAGGAATTGTCCAGGCTGTCTCTGCCCTGCTGAGCCTGCCAAAAGTCCCATTCTGCAAACTGTGCTACACCAGTTGAGTAGTCCTCGACTTACGACCAGTTGGGGGTCACGGCATTAAAAAGGTTGAGAACCACTGAGATAGATAGATAGGTAGGTAGGTAGGTAGGTAGATCAATCATTACCTAAAACCATTGCATAATAATTGTTTAAAAAGCATTAAAAACTAAAAAAGTAAACTAATAAAACAGTAAAAGAAAATAACAGATGTAGGGATGTTAATAATAGTGGGGCCACCTCATGAGTTCACACATCACTTGAGGTTGGGTAAAAAAAAATCACTTATCATGCTTTAAACCAAGATCAATTTTTCTTAAATACTAGCATTAATTTATCAGTAATTGATGCTAGTATTTGGTAATAATTTCCTTTTTTTGTAAATAGCAATAAACAAATGAAGGCAAATATACTGTCCCAGGATAATGTTGCATGATCCAATCTAAACTGGAAACAGAGGTTTAGTCCTCTGAGCTTTGGGACTCATGTTGAAACCCATCCACATACTGGTGAGAATTGGAAGTGTCTTGGCAACGTTTCGACGAAGTCTCATTCGTCATCTTCAGGCTGGTGTTTTCAGCTTCGTGCTTCTAGGAGCAATGTGTGATCATAGCTGTTTCTTCCTTTTAACTGCCAGTGGGGGTGTGAACTGATTGGATGAGAGCTTGGCTGTGTTCTGATTGGATGGAGGTGTGTTCTGATTGGTTAGGAGCTTGCCTGTGCTCTGATTGGATGGGGGTTGGCTGTGCTCTGATTGGTTGGGGGAGTGTTCTGTTTGGGTGGGGGCTTTGTTGTGCTCAGGTTAATCTGAGTTGCATGGGGATGTGAGATGGTGAGCATTGCTATTGTTTGTCTTCGAGTTCGTGGTCGTGCCTCATCTTCATGGTGGGTGTCAGTTTGATTCATGTATGGATTGGAGAGGTTTAAAGTGGCTAATGATGCAGCTGTGGTCTGGCTTCTGGTTTGTGGTCGTGCCTCATCATCAGTGTGGGTTTGGGTTTGCTTTTTGCGTGGACGTGTGGTGGTGACATCCTGTGTGACTTTCGTGAGTGTGGGTCTGGTGTCATTCTTTGTGTTAGGGACTCATTTGTCAATAAGGGCGGGTTTCCAAATGGCTGGTAGGTGGGAGGTATCATCTCGTTTGTTCATGCTGTGTGGGCGTTTTTCTATCTCGATGGCTTCTCTGATTATTCTGTTATTAAAGTGTTCAGTTATGGCGATAGTTCTGGTCTTTTTAAAGTCAATTTCATGTCCTGTGATTTTAAGGTGGTGGACCAGGGAAGAAGTTGGTTCCTCTTTTTTGACTGAGTTCTTATGTTCTTGACTGAGTTTATTTTATTTATTTATTTATTTATGAGACTTATATACCGCTTTAAGTGCAAGCACTCTCTAAGCGGTGTACACCAGTAAGCAATGTGTATATATATATATATATATATATATATATATATATATATATATATATATTTACATTGCCCCCAACAATCTGGGCCCTCATTTTACCTACCTCGGAAGGATGGAAGGCTGAGTCAACCTTGAGCCGGTGAGATTTGAACCGCTGATATGCTGAACACAGTCAGCTAAAGTGGCCTGCAGTACTGCACTCTAACTGCTGCGCCACCTTGGCTCCTTATGTTCTTCAACGCATCTCACATCCCCCTGCAACTCAGATTAACCTGAGCACAACAACCCCCCCACCCAAACAGAACACTCCCAAAACCAATCAGAGCACAGCCAACCCCCCATCCAATCAGAGCACAGCCAAGCTCCATCCAATCAGAACACAGCCAAGCTCTCATCCAATCAGTTCACACCCCTACTGGCAGTTAAAAGGAAGAAACAGCTACGATCACACATTGCTCCTAGAAGCACGAAGCCGAAAACACCAGCCTGAAGATGACAAATGAGACTTTGTCGAAACGTCGCCAAGACATTTCCAATTTGATGCGGGAGAAAACCTGAATAACCAAACACCTACATACAAACACCCGCGAAAACCTCAGAAAACACACACACACACACACACACATATAATGAAATTATTTTGTCTACTTTTTCTTATGCTGAAAACAGCCTTAAGTGAAAATAACTAAATAAACATTGAAGATTTTTTTACCAGAGTTTAAAAATTACATTTAATTAGCATACATTTATTTAGGATAACTTCTGTAATTATTCACAGCAGTGATTCTATGAGGTTGCTTTCTATATAAAATCTTATTAAGAATATGTTCCTCTTCAAATTATATTTGGCATATTTGTATTTGTCAGTTTGTGGGTGCTTAGTATATTCTCACAGAGAAAGGTGATGAAGTCTTTCATATATATAATCATAAACAAATGGAGTGATGGAGAGATTTCTATTTCTGTTCTTAACTATTTAGTTAAAGGGAGCTTTTCCAGCATCCATTTGAATATGAGCAGAACATTCCAAATGCTCAAGAGATTTTGCTTTATTGATATCATTGCTTCTATGGAGATTCTGTCCAAAGTAACCTTCTGTGCCTTATTTTTCTGCTCAATGTGGGAGCCATGGTGTTAGCATTTGCAGGATCAGTTATCAGGAGAGGCAAAGCTGTAGGGATGCTTTAAGAGCCAATACAATGCAATATTATGGTAAGGCATGGAAAAGTTAAGAAAGTTAAACAAAGGGTATTAAAAAGTAAAGCTGTATCTTTAAATATGTTTCAAAACAATCAAGGCCTTTCGGATATCTCCCATGGTAGATTAATAAGACAAGAAACATTACATTTAAAGTGAAATAAGAGCTGTGGTGGTGTAATGATTAGAATGCAGTATTGCAGGCTAATTCTGCCGACTGCCAGCAGTTTGATCCATACCTGCTTAAGGTTGACTCAGCCTTCCATCCTTCTAAGGTCAGTAAAATGAGGATTGAGATGGGGGCATTATGCTAACACTGTAAACCACTTAGAGAGGGCTGTAAAGCACTATGCAGCAGTATATAAATCGAAGTGCTGTTGCTAAATTGGTAATGATTTTCTCCAACATCTTTAACCCTAGCTTTTTCCAGGTAAGTTTGCAACCCCCTTAAAATTTGTTATCAGAAGACTGAATAAATAATAAAATGTTCATTATTATTTTTATCTACTATTTATAATTTTTTTCTTTTCTTTTATTACATTATTGAGTCAAAGTATCCTATATTTTAAAAAGAAGCCTAAAGAATAGCCCATGAAATCCTAATTGT